TGGATGTCTTCAGTAGACATATTGAAGTGATGATAATTGTGAATAGCTCCTCCAACTTCAAATATTTTTTCAACGATGACGCTGAGACCGGAAGGGGATTCCCGGAAAAATGCTTCCCAGAAAGGTACCTCGCCCCAGGTCCTTTCGCCAGTGACGGAAATTCCTCTGATGGCAGAAACACATTTTTCGAAGTATGCAGATGTTTTTTTTTTTCCTTCTTTCGTCTGATTTTGTTTTGTAAACTTTAAGACCATAAATAGCTGAAGCATAATAATTTTAATGGACGCGCCTCAAAGAAAGAATACCGCTCGAAGTTATGCGCGCAAGAATCTCAGAGCGTAATCCTTACAATTGTCTGTAAAATGGGAAGGTTGTGAAACTATTATATTAAACTCCCGTACAAACTGATTTCAGCAAAAATCACCCTTCCGTTTAAAAAGCTCCCTACTTTCCTACACACTTGATACATCGATATCCCCACAAGAAAAAAAACCTGGGATTGCCAACATTGGAGGTTACAAGGAGTATTACAGGATAATCAAATTTAAATGTAATGCTAATTCAAAGGCAACTATGAAATGTAATTTATTTATTACAGATTCACTCCACTGCATAACAAGCAAATAATGAAATGAAATAAGCTTACACTACTTTAACAAACAAACAAAAAAAGAAAAAAAATGAAGTTGTGGAGACGGAGACAACCAAAAGCACCAATGCCCCATACTAGGGATGCCCCAATAATACGGTACAACAGCGAAGAAACCATTTTATTTACAAACTTAAAATGCCTCCTCTTTGCTTAGGAAAGAAAAATGAGTAACATACAACTAGTGCATATCCTTCAGAACCAGCACTTTTTTTTCAGCATTGTCTGTTATATTTTTGTACCAAACCAAATAAGTTCATTTTTCTTGCGTCCTCTCCTACCCGTCCCTGCAGGGACAGGTAGGGTAGGACCCTGGGAACGAATTGTACAAGGGTGTTGCCAGATCAGATCTTCTTAGTTAACACACTACTAGCCTACGCGCCCTTGGCTGGACAACCTCCTTCCCAGGGTCCTCTCCTACTCGGCCTCCGAGTGGGAGAGGACTTTGGGAACGAGGTTGCAGAGTTTTGGCGTTGTGCGCATAGCTGACAGCAAAGCCGTGAGAACGTGGCCTGTTTCATATTTCCATAATTAAACCAGGAGGGGAATCTCAATTTGACTCATTTAATTCCTCTCGAGGCTTTACAGTCTAAGGCATATCAACAATGACAAAAGAACCTGTCGAAGGAAGCAGGTCGCGCGCGATAAACCGCCAGCCACGCAGGTTTTAACCTGCGTGGCCCGCGGTTTATCGCGCGCGACCTGCTTCCTTCGACGGGTTCTTTTGTTGTTGGTGTAATGAATGCACTTACTAAAACCCCTTTAGATGTCTATACACTTGACTAGGAATGTGAATAGAAATTTTTGGGAAAAGAGATCTTACACCCAGATTTCCAAGTTCCTCTTTCTCTAACACAAACGCCAGCTTTCCATTTTTCATTACCAAAACAACGGTTCATTTTATAAGGAAATGCAACAAAATCTTTCTATCAAGGTTAAAAAACTTATGACGATTAAAGACTCCAGCCTTAAGTAAAATTCATTACAATTTTTACGGTAAATGAAGTCTTCCCAAAAGATATTGGTGAAGGACGCGTTTGTGAAGTGGACTTTCCAGAAGTCCTTCCTCTTGGTACAATTTTGTAAATTATGTGCAGACATTTACACTCAGTATACATTTATATACAGTATTCGTATTCTCGCTAGCGAGCTGGTACTAGCTTGCAGTCAAGGCTACTAATGCAATGTAATCTTATCATGATAATAGCGATTTGTCACCATGAAATCGCCGTTGTTTCTAGATTGGGGCACGTTTCTCGAAAGTCTCCGTAACTTTTCGGGACCGAAGCTGTATTTTAAAATCAAATGCTAAGAATGTTAGTGCGGAGTCAAGCCCCCTAGCCAGTCCATTTGTTTGTTTATCTGATAATTTTACTTTATCATTTTGAAACCCATGAAAACCTCGATCTTCAACTTTATCACGGCACAAGTTACTGCGCTTTTCACAAACATGCGAACTCTAAAGTTCAAAAGCCGCCTTCACAATTGCGTTTTTCGCTGCCGTCAATCATAATTACGATCACAGGCAACGAACCTTGAAATACAGAAACACACAGAACGGATCGAAATCCACCAGTCACAAATTACAAACCATGACCTTTTGAACCCGTTAAAGTAAAGTTTTGTTTCCTAAGAGGTCCGTTAAGATGATTGACGGCAGCGAAAAGCGCAATCGTCAGTTGGCTTTTGAACTTCAGAATTCGCACGTTTGTGAAAAGCGCAGTAAACAGAGTTCCAGACCCAGTAATTACCTGGACCTTCGCGAAACGGGCCTCTTCCCGAAATTTGATGCAATTTATCGTCGATTTTCTACACGAGAGGTACTAAAAAGCATCAGCGGACCTCAACTAGACACCATTACCAGCTCAGTGACTAAACGTTATTTGTCGCAAACATGGAGGATATTGGTTCAAGATTATTGAAAGTTGCAATAAAATCGCCTTAAAATTGGCGCTTGTTTAGCAAGGCGATTCGAAATCGCGCCCAAAATCGCAAGAGAAAATTGCCTTGAAAATTGCCTTGATGGTAGGAAGATTCCCACATGAGCCTCGACTTCATGTTAGTTCCAGTATTAAATATCTAAAGGTATCCCTTCTACAGGTGAACTACTATGTGCGAGCGTTAACTGGGAATCAGTTGTTGTGTTCAAAGAACATAAAATCCTGAAAAAAATAATGCAAAAAGAGAATTAAAACGAAAGACAACTGAGTCCAACTGGGGGGAGAGCATGTGAAAAGTGACAATTACCCACGACTGCAGTTGATTCCTTCCCCTTTCACACTACTGTACATTACTACAAATGATCCCCGACCGTAAATGATCCCCAGACCGCAAATGATCCTCGACCTTAAATGATCCCGAGAGGAAAATTAGGATGGCCTGGACTCAAGTTACTGGATTATCGTGTCACGTTTATTACCGCAACAAAAAGTATTAACTAAACTTAATACATTTAACAAATAGAATATCAAGACTTAGCATAGCTTAAGAAAACAACCGACATTCGCGACACCACCAAGGGTGTCCCCGATAAATGAACCACCTTGGTCACGTCGCCAAACGTCTGCTGTTTTCTCAGACTAGGCTTAGCACTGTTGAAGAGGTTTAATCGTGGAATAACAGTTAGGACAGCCAGTCAGCCTTGAATGCGAGTTGGATATGAGATGTCCGCCTCGTTGGCTATAATCATCTCATATCCAACAAGCTCGAGTGGAATAATTGTTTTATTAAAAACGCCCACAAAAGATCGAGATTACTTTCCGACTTTATTTGTAAAAACAAGCGATTTTCAGCTCGATTTTAATTTTGAGCAGACGCGTCCAGTTGCCAAATTTGGAGAGCATGATATAATGGCTCATATACACTGATGGCAGGCCAACCAGAGCTCTAGAATTGCACTATCCAATGATTCACTTTTTAATAATTAAGAATTATTCTACGTGTGCGCGTTGGATCTGAGATGGTAGCCTGCGAGACAAGTCTCAATTTGGGGGACATTGCAAGTAGGGTTACCGGTCGTTTCGATACAAGTTAATACCTTCGAGGCGTAAATAGTTTCACGTACTTG